CAGACGTGACGAAAATAGTACTTCACGGGTTTCCTGATGCCAGCAAGTTAGCAGTTTTAGCAGCTATCAACGCTCTTGTATTTTATAAAACTGCCCCAGTTTGTCACAATCTCCTTGATGCAAAGTCAAGGATGGCTCCAAGAGAATTCTCAATCCCACGCTTGGAGCTTTCGCTGCACACACACGTGGCAAGCTGATGAATCATGTGAAGGACGTATTACAAGGTCGGCCAGTTGAAGAGTATCACTGCTGGGTCGACAGCACCACTGTTCTTTACTGGATTAAAGGATAAGGAACTTGGACTCAGTTTGTGCGAAATAGAACTCAAGCTATTCAAGACAACGGGTACCTAAAAAGGCATTATGTGCCCACAAGTGAAAACCCGTGCGTCCAAAGAAGCAGAGGTGCTGAGCCCAAAAAGTTGGGAAGGCTATGGTTTGAGGGACCAAACTGGCTAAGCAGTCCAGAAGTGGCCATCGCAACCTGAAGTGTGTGAGACCTCCGAGACGCTAGAAGAGATTGTAAAACCTACATTTGAGAATCAATTGCTCGTTAAAGAAGAAGAGAAGAATCTGAAAGTGGATCAGCTTTTACACTAGTATTCATCTTACTGGGAGCTTCTAAGAGTGACTGCTTATGTCGAGCGATTTGTTAACAACTGCAAGAAAACAGAGAAACAGAAAGGCCCACTGAAAACAGAGGAATTGCAAGTAGCAGAGAGGTTCTCGCTCATCCAGGCACAAGCTGTTCGAGCTCCAAAATCGGATGTAAAACTTGAAAAGGATGAAGATGGAATATTGAGATATGTTAGCAGAGTCCCTGGTTATTACTCAATCTTTCTACCTCGAGAGTGTGTACTAACGTCACTAGTTGTTTTACAAGTACACAAGCAAATGTTGCATAGGGGAGTTTCAGTAACCATGTGCTGCATGCGAGAGACGTTCTGCGTTCCCAAACTGAGGTCATTGACGAAGAAGGTGATTCAGAACTGTGATGTTTGCAAGCGCTACCGGGAGAAACCTATATCTGCCTCGCATGTGACAACTGCAGCCCTGCCAACCTTTAGGGTTGAAATGTCTGACCCTTTCGCAGTGACAGGAGTGGACTTTGCTGGTCCAGTTTACTACAGGGTGAAGAAGTCTGTTACTGCCAAAGCTTACATTGCATTATTTACCTGTACCAGCACCCGCGCAGTACACCTGAATTTGTGTCATGAACTCTCGTCTGTTGGATTTCAAAGAGCCCTAAAAGAGTTTATTGCCAGGCGAGGATGCCCTCAGACCCTTGTAAGTGACAATGGAAAAACATTCGTGGCTACGGGGAAATGGTTGTCTACCCTCAAGAAGGATCACAATCTTGCAAGTTACATTGGAGCTCTGAATATAACGCGGAAGTTTAACCTAGCCCGAGCCCCACGGTGGGGAGCTTTCTTCGAGCGCCTCATTGGTATCATGAAGAGGGTACTTTCAAAGGTGGTCGGCCGAAGCCTTCTGACCTATCCACAACTGGAAGATTTCTTCATTGTCATAGAGACCTGTATGAACAATCGACCCCTTCTTTACCAGGGAGAGGAGTTTGAGCAACCGCTGCTTACACCAATTACTCTACCAAGTGGGAAACCAGCCACAGTCTTGGAGGAAGATCTTGAGACAATTGGCGAAAAGAAAGTGTCAAGGCGGATGAAATTCTTACAAAGAGGTAAGGAGCAACTTCGAAGGAGGTGTTTAAAAGATTATGTCCACGCCCTTGGGGAGAGAAAGTCTAATTCCAACGCAGACAATCCAAAATTCCAGACACCGGAGCAGTGGTGTTGTTGAAAAGTGAAGCGAAGGATAAAGCACTGTGGAAGCTTGGACGAGTGGTGGACAATATTGTTGGCAAGGACGGAGTGGCTTGTGGATTGAACCTGAGGCAAGGAAATGGATATATTGTCGAGCGTCCCCTGCAACTTGTGTGTAACTTGGAAATTGGAGGAGAGAATCCTGATTACAAGCTTCACCCTGAAGCAGGAGTGTTCGTAAAAAGAGTGAGGTCAAACAGAAGGACCAAAGAGATTGCTAATAAGCTGTTCAAAGACATTGCTGCACAAGAAGTTGAAGATGGTGACTGACATTTAAGCTGATAAACACTTTATGGGGTGAGGGTGTTGAGAACGTTTTCAACATTTCGTGACTGTTATATGAAGTCTTTTTGACTAGCCTCGTTTTGAGTAGTACTTTTATTCGCACCTCGTAGTTTTTGAGTGCGTTCCTGAAAATACTTGTTGTTGTTCGGTAAGACGTTTTCGTTACTACTTGTACTTGAGGATAGGATTAAACGTGGTGAGATTTCGGAACTATTTGGTGTGTTCTCGTGTTTTCCACAGGGGACACAGAGGACAAAAGGGGACGCAAGGGACACTGGGGACACAGGGGACAAAAGGGAACACAAGGGACACAAGAGGACACAGGGGACACAGGGGACACAAGGGGACACAGGGAACACAAGGGACACAGGGAACACAAGAGGCAAAAGGGCACGAGGGGACACAAGGGACACAGGGAACACAAGAGACAAAGGGGCACAAGGGGAAACAGGGAACACAAGAGACACAGGGGCACGAGAGGACACAAGGGACACTGGGGACACAGGGGACACAAGGGGACACAGGGGACACAGAGGACACAAGGGGACACAGGGGACACAGAGGACACAAGGGGACACAGGGGACACAGAGGACACAAGGGACACAAGGGACATAAGGGACACAGGGGACACAAGGGACAGAGGGGACAGAGGGGACAGTAAATAAATTGTGGTCTGTTTATGTAACTTTTATAAATATAATTGGGTCAAAAATAAGAACACTAGTCCTTTCACTAATCATTTAGGTTGTGAAGAAAATTCGCGTAAGATAAATGACTGAGATCCCGTGGAGCTTTCCGGGAAAAGCTGCTATGAATTTCAAAAAAACCGCAGCCGTCCCAAAACAAATTATATCTTTTGAACAGATCATCTTGTTGGAAAGTCGTCGTTATATATTATCGGTGAAATGTTCAGGACAAACGAGCTTTCTGTGGATTCGGTAGTCAGCCAGCTCTACTTTGACCGCTAAATTCAGCTTTTGCGTTTTATTTTTAGTACGTGATACGTAATAACTTGTCATGACACCAAAGACAATGCGGGACTATAGATTTACATCCCTTTTTCTAAAACAATGACAACAATACTCGTATTTTTTCTTTTTTTATCCATCGTATTTTACTGGAATAAAAATCTTAAGTTATATTTTAGCCTCGCAGACACAGCAGCAAAAAACAGGTAAAAATATTTAATTATCACGAGACTGAGGCGACTCCCGTGTTTATTCAGAGATTTTTTAAAATACAAAACTTTTGTTTCATGTCGCCGACCGTACTTTAGGCCTGTCAGAGCAGAAGTAGCATTTTCTTTTGAAAAACTAACTCATGAACCATCCTTATTTGAAGAAAAAAAATTTAATGCTATTTTGAAAAGCTGTTAAAATCGAAAAATGTGCAGCTTGTCACATTCATAGTCAAGGATTGTAGGTGCGGTTACACACACCACGATAAAACGCACTTTCCACGGTAAAAAAGCCGCGGTAGATTCAGCGTGGGTTTTAGTTTACCGTGGTAACATGTGGTTACACGTAAATTAATTCCCAACGTAATTTAGCCGCATTTACGGCTTCATTCGTGCTATTGCGGTGATAGTCGCCGTCGATCGTGGCAGTATTTCATGTTATGTTGAAAATTTACGTATAATTTAGCTGGAATTTCAATTGGTATGTTAGTCCTGATAATTTTGCGAAGGTACACCGAATTTTTTTCAGTCTTGCCTTCAGATCCCATTCTACAATTCAGCTGCATCCCACTGTTCGATTACATGCCAGGAATAGAACATACTTTTGGGAAGTATCGTTCCTAAATCTAGCCCAACGAACCAGTTCAAAATTTTGCCCTAAACGTTTCCTTCTCTTTCCTCCGAACGTGAAATCTGCCATATCAACATCGATCTTTCTCTCAACAACGGGAAAGAAACCCGTTAAACAATTATGCGGTTTCATGTTGGTGTCAATTGAAGAAACCTGATTGGTTCTCTAAACCTTGGGTATCGAAAAACCCTAGCTAATTGCCACGTTAAATGTCATGGGCGGTTTCTTTCTTTTTTCTGACGTAACCATGGATATTTCCCGTGGTAAATTTATCTCGGGAAAGTCCGGTCACACGCACCACGCCAATTTCAAGCGGTAAGAGGGTCATTTACCAAGGTAAAAGTGTCCCGTGTAACCGCACCTATGTACATGTGAATTTAAGTGGAACGATCTTTGAACATCAACGCGCGCCCGGTGCCCGATTTATATGTAACAACATTTTCTTTTAAAAAGCTTTTTGACTGACATGCTACATAGAAGTTGACCTCAAGAGTTTCTTAGCGAGCGGAACATTCTTTTTAGGCGGCGAAGTGAGCTACGAAGTCGCAAGTTATAAATTCTAGCTTTTTGACTTTCAGTCAAGAAACCAACACTAGCATGTCGCCGGGCTGGGTGACCTACACAATATTTTCAGTCGCCCGAGGCCAAGTGTTAGTAGCCTCAGGCGACCGCGCTCCGTAAGTTAGAGCACAGCCTTGACTTTGTCCTCCCTTACGCAGTAAGTTTACTTTTCCCTCCTTTGCTGACGTAGTATCTTTTTTCTGCTTGTGCAATTCAACCTGACTTTCACGTGATTCGAAGTCGCAGCCAATAAAAATCAAACAATTTTTCGGGACGGGCACGGGATACAGAAAAGTTTAAAAAAGAAAAAAAAACAAGGCAATTTTTAACTCCCAAGAAAAATACGAAAGGAATGTGCTACCGAATTTATGACGCTGGCTGACTACGTCATCCCGCGTAATAAAGTAGGCGGATGAAAGTTACCACCTCGTTCCCAAGGCTCTCCCGAACGAGTAGGAGAGAAACCTGGAAACGAGGTTGATGGAAGATACTGGAAAATGTACTTACCTAGTCTGTCACGATTCTCTGTAAAGCTTTTGTGTATGTCTTTTACAATCTGTTGCATTTGTCTTGCTGAGTGAAGAGGCGAATACTGTGCAACATCAAACAGGTGCCTAAAAGCAAAATGGGCAGAAGACAAAGTCAAAGGGTAAAGCGTGCTCTACTAAGTCATAACAGCATAAAAATTACTACGTATACGGAGCTCGGCGATGGACTAAGTATTGAAATAATGAAAACATGTTTACGAAAATCATATATCGGAAATGCGGGGTAAAGAATTAAATGGAAGACGACCATCGCAGTCAAAAACGCAACTTTGCGGTTGTGAAAACGAAGCCTGAAAAAATTCAGCCTTGTTCGAGATTCGAACCCTTGACCTCCGTGATACCGGTACAGTGCTCTACCAACTGGACTAAAAACCCAACTAGCAGCAGGCTATCGAAGTGGCTCGTAACTGCGATGACCTTCTTTCATTCATTTCCTCACCCAGCAGTTCCTATATGATTTTCATGTATTCATTGTCTCATCGTCATCCTTTTGCGGGTTTATGACGAACCAACTCAATGACCTGAACCCAGTTGGTTTGTTGGCTTAATTGGTAGAGCGTTGCACTGGTGTTGCAAACTTTAGGGTTCGAATCCCGAACGAGCCTGATTGATGCAACTGAATGCTCATGTCCAATGTTTTTTTCACCATCTCTCGGCATTTCTCATCCTCGGAGAACCAAGGTAGCTAATTAATCAGACTGGAAAATTCGCAGGCGAAACCATAACAGGTAAAGTTTACAAAAAATGGGAAAACCTCTAAATACATTATACTGATTCTTACAGAAACAGTTCCAGAAGCTTGTAAATTTCCTGTCTTCTGATTGGCCCATTATATTTTTAGCCAATCAGAAGCAAGGACTTGAAATGCCTCTGAAACTGGATGGGTGTGAATAATTACCCAGGAATTCTCCCATTCTTTTTGCAAACTTTGTGACAATTTTTCCATAAATATCAAGGGCATTTACCATTTCAAGGTTTACACCATTTTTACCCCACTCCAAACCCCTTCAGAAGTTGATTAAGACCAGGGCCGGGTTGTTCAAAGCTGGGTTAAGATAACCCAGGGTTAGTGCAAAATTTTGAATTCAGTTATGAAAGCGCAAAAAGCAGATTCCGTTTAATTCTTTTTGTCTACAATTTGATGATAGGATACTCTAAAAAGAAACGAGAAAGTTATCTAAAAAAAAAAGGCTTTTGAATAAAAGAAAAAGAAACCCGGGTTAAAATCTAACCCTGGGTCAGCGGTAATCGGCCCTCGAACAACTCGGCCCAGGACTCTGTATACATTATGTGAGGCTACCTTGAAAGCTTGTCAATCATCTCCAGTTCTTCAGATCCCATCAGTGACAGGCCATTAACATACTCCAATAAAATATTAAACAATGCCTGCAAAAGCCAAGATACAGAGTGAAATTTAGTAAAGGCCATTTAAAGGTTGGGTGTGAGACTGACCCGATGTCCTGTTGAATTGCATCATGGGATTGGTTTGGAACACTATTTATTCTGTCATTCGTTATTTCTCCATTTCTGATTGGCTAAAAGTACACGCATAATTCATCATAGAGAGCTACTGTTGACCAAATTTGGAAAAAATTTTGTCATATTGAACCAATGACGTCAAAAGGGCCGTCAACCGTCAACCGAGAAAACCTAGGGACGAGGTTGAGTTGTTTTGATAGTGAGAACAAAATGGCTGAACAGTCGGCAAAACATTTTACTCGTTTCACGGCGAAATATTGTCTAAAATCATAGCAAGCACAGCAAGACGACAACTCGACGGACGACATCTGCTATTCAGAGTATATTTGCAGACCTGAACAGACCTTTTTCTCCTAAACTTCCCGATAAATATGCGCTATCGATATGAACTTAGCATCGACCGAGGAAAGCATGTTTTAGGTTGTTTTTAAACTTGGAATTATTTTTAATGAAAAATAAAAGAATTATTGAATTCGGCTTTCGTCGTAGGATATGAAGAATTCTTCAGATCTCGGAGGGTGTTACCCACCTTGGCCTTCGGCCTTGGTGGATAACACCCTCCTCGATCTGCAGAATTCTTCATATCCTGATCAGCCTCATTTAATAAAAATTATTGCTAATTATTTGCCCCTCAAAATTTTGCAAAAGCATTGTTTTCAATTTCTCTTAGACGGCTGTAATACCCAGGAGAAATGAAAAACAAGGGTTATGCAAATTTTGGGGGGCCAATAAGGTGCATTATGAGAGACGTGTAACTGGCGTATAGACGGTCTCAAGTGCCACTCAAAAAGGCGAGTTTCGTATTCCCCGATGGCCTAGGACGAGCGCTTGTTTTTGCGCGAAGGCGAGGTTAATGCTGGTCACTTCTCACCAAGAAGACAAACAACATGAGAAAACTGCGGCTGAGTTGGAGAAAAAAAAGCAAAATTTGAAACGTTGAAAGGTTTTGGAGGCCGCAAAACTTACTTACAGGCTTGAGAAATCATTGTTTCAAACAGCAAAGGGAAAATCAGCTCGTCATCACTAAGAAATACAACGAGTATAACCAGAAATTGACCGAAAAGTGGTCGGTGAGTGAGTTCAATAAAAATGCGAAGATGGGTTCAAAAGCCTTAAACAAGGTAATACCCTGAAGCCACTTTAATGTTACTTTCAGTCATGGTTAAAACTTCTTTAAGCCATATTTTTTTCTATTGGAGTGGACGTACTTGTCAAAAGCTTTTAAGTTAAACTGAAACCTTCTTTTTAGTTTATATTTTTTCGAACGGAGCGAATGCAAAATCTTGTGTATTTGGAAAAAAATAAACCGACAGGGCAGACGTTCCGCATATATTCCTTGCACTGTCAGGAAGATAAATCGGTTTGAACGAAGATGACTAAGGGCCTGTTTACATGGAGTGGGGGACCCCGGTCTAGTGGGGTTGGTTTCTTTTGTTTTCACGCTCTGGGGGACACAAAACAAAAGAAACTTACCCCACTAGACCGGGGTCCCCCACTCCATGTAAACAGGGTCTAAAACAGTATAAGTTTATTTAAACATACATAAGCTTACATTTAGCTTACATTATTTATCAAAATTTTCAGTCATATAAAGAAAAACGTACGCTCATTTCACTCGACAAGAACTCGACCACAGAATTTTATACAGAAGATATAAAGAGTAGTTTAAACTCCACGTTACAAATATACACAAGAGTAAAATAGAATACTAAGAAGTAAGATAATCGAAGGGAATAAAATACTGCCATTTTAACAAACTTTACCCTGTTCAAGCTTAAAAAGTTTACTCAGCCTTCTTTTGGGCTTCGTCGCTCTTTTCTTTCTTCTGTTAAGTACGATCAGCTTTTCCCACAATTTTGTTGTTTGCAACAGATATCCCTTTGGCTTACTGGTAAAGTTTAAGCTCTGAAATCTTACTATTTTTAAGATTTCTATCGTTTTTCAGTGCCTCAGCGAGAATTACCTTAGATGTTTGTTTTTGTTTTTGCACAGAAGTTGACCCGCATTAGCCTCGCAATCGTGCTCGTCCCAGGGCCGTCGGGGAATACGAAAAAAGCCTATTGGCCGATGGCAGAAGCCCAAAATCTATAGCGGGCAATTTCTATGCCCTCGCGTCCCGGCGTTTTCATCGACCAGGTTAACTTTATTAAAAATTGTGGTGCGAAATTAGTATATCTTTTAAGTTCCACAAACCAGTCAACATAGCCTGAGATCAGACTCTATTTTCGTTTCGCTTTTTAAATAAAATTCTGACGGAGAGAAGGTGTGGAAGCTGTCAAAATTGGGCCTGATCTCAGGTTGAATCAACAAAATGTACAGACCTAAAAACAGCATTTTGAATTTTTGGCAGGGGCCCATAACTTGCAGCGACCAACTCCCATACTAGCCTATGTCTCGACATTTGCTCGGACTGATTAAATGCATTTTAGAGCGCTTTTTCCCGCAAAAGTGGAAGCTCCGTTCCGTCTATGAGCGCGTTCGAAGTATACGGTATCAAAAAAGAAAACTAAACGTCATTATGGACCGGCTGTTTTTCTTACAAACTTCGGCTAATTAAAACAGAATTTTCAAACTTACCTCCATCTTGGGTTTATTCTCAGGTGTAATTTTGGGGTTGTGACACGCTTTGATCCTTTCAACGATTGTCAACTGATCTTGATATGACCTACAGATTCAAAATGTCCACTTAAACAGAGATCACAAAACCTTTTTAAGAGCGTCTATGGAGTAACCACATTGTTATAGTTGCTTACCAGCCATTTATAAGTTCTTTGAACTCCGAAAATGATTTTGGAGCTGAAATTAAAAGCGGAAATAATTAGGGAGAAGAATCAACTGGATAAGGAACAGAGAAGCAAGTTGAACAAGCCTGCCTAGCCTGGCACCAGGCTCCGCATTGGGGGAAAAGGAGAGAAAACTCGGCGTGGGCGATAATAGAAAATCGGCGAGTGAAGCGAGCTGAGTCTGGGGATTTCCCCCTCCTCAGGACACCGCTCGGCTCGCTTCGCTCGACGATATTTTTCGTGTTTGACCCCGTTTTTTGCTTTTTCCCCCACTGCGGAGCCTGATCCCAGGCTATAGCCTGCGTAGCAGGTGGGTTTCCTTTTGGGTGTGTTTTTGTTCGTGTTGCGTAAGCAAGGGTTTAAACGAGGAAACGATGGGGGGAGGGGGCGTGAGAAAGAAGAAGGCTCTGCCTTGTTCCGCTTTCCCCCTCCCTCATCGATTTCTCGTTTGACTTCAGTTCTGCTTCCGCGCAGCTTTGTCTGGTACTTTATGAACCACAAACACCAAAAACCGCCTGCTACGCTGGTTAGAGTAGACCTCGAGTCCGCGACAAAACAGGTGACAAACGAAATGGACTATACTTCTTGGAATGAACAATTTGACGCCTTACCCACCCCATCCTAACCAAGGTTGGCTTGCATTGTGCAACAGCACAATGTTGCGTGGAGGGAGGGGGTAGGGAAGAGGTAACTAGGCTTTGAAAAACGTGGGAAGTGTATTCGACGCCAAATTGTCTCAACTAATTCTGCCACGGATTGTTGGGGCTGTTGTATTCTTTCTTGAAAGGATATGTTAAGTAAGTAACCCGTTTGGTCGAACAAACAAAATGTGGTCGGACTGAATCAAGGACGCATTACGCGAAACAAAAACTGCGCATGATAGTCGGGAATTAACTTTGTTCGCAAATCACGTCCAACCGCAGTCAGTAGGACTTCGTCGGAGATGGGAAAATTTTACTCAGCCTTTTCCGAGGACCGACTATTATTTGCAATTATGGAAGTAGTTAGGTTTACCTTTAAACGTAAAAGGAAGCTCTTTCCCTGCTTTTGTATCCTCATTCAGTACGTCTTCCTGTACGTTACAGAATGACCAACAACAAAATTTAATTTAGACTGATTTAAGAATGTAACTGCATTACATGTACTCTAAAAAGGAATAATTAAACAAATTTCGACAAACTCAGAAATCCGCCTTTTGTCAAACAGGAAAACCTTTACTGCCAAAATATTTTTCCTAATCAAGCATTAAACTAACAAGTTACTCAAATCAAACCCTCTATCGTTCCCATCTTCTAATTCCTTCCACCAGGAGCCACAACCGGGAGAGTTCAACTGTACGTATCTGGAGCATCTGCTAACTAAACCTTAGACTGATTTTATCGTGAATTTTCTTTATCTAACAATTCCCACGAAAACATGTCAGCAAAAAATAGAGCCCTGGCCTCAGTTGATCAAAAGGTGGCAAAGCTATCCACCGGATAAATCACCATCCACTGGATAGCGCAATTGGTTTCCCTAACACTTATCGAGTGGATAGTGATTTATAAGGTGGATAGCGCTATCCAACTTTTGGTCAACTGGGACCAGAAGTTGATATTTTTGTGTTTACAGTTTCCATAGAAACTGAAACACTTTGCTAGCGTTTCGTAAATTCATAATGTCCGTAATGTTCCTAATAAAAGCAATAATTCTGAAGGCTAGATACAAACAGTTTGCAAACAAGTAAAGTCTATGATGCTCCAGTCGGTGCTAGTCATTTCATCAATTAATTTTTTTCTAGTCTAAAACTAAACAGATCTTTGAGCGGGGTTGGTATCTTCTGTCATTAAATGTACCGGCACATCTCTGCATAATTTCCCTTGGAACGGATTTCATCCCCGCACTCACTGCTTACAAAACTTCACCATTCACTCTGGCAGTATACTGAGGGTCAACAATGTTACGTCAATTTTCGATATGATGAATTTTCAAACAGTACGAGTAA